TTGTGTGTGTGTGTGTGTGTGTGTGTGTGTGTGTGTGTGTGTGTATGTGTGTTTTCTCATTTATCATTTGGTAGGTGTTGTATTAATGGATGTACGCCGAATGAATAGCTGACCGGGTTGATGAATGGCCGAGTGGATGGATGGACTAATGGACTCGAGGATGGATAAAAGAAAGAATTAATAATATATTATTCAAACCTGATATGGCAGCCCTTTTTCCTTTACCAGAGTGGGTTCTTGAGCAGCATGTTAAGGCCAACTGCTTTTTAAGCAACCTCATTTCGACATAAAATTGTGGGGAGGTCGGGGGGTCGGGGGATGAGGGTGATTTGATATATGGAGTTGTCATCTCTGGCTCAGAGGTCAAACAATGTTCAAGGAAAGGTCATTGTTTACTGTCTCTTGCTGCTCAACATAATTATTGTGTACTCGGTATATTTTTTTTGGTATAATGTATCATACGTGTATTTGAATGTCGGGGTTATGTACGTATGTGTATGTATGATAATATTATGTATGTTTGTCTGTGAAACCCAAGTTTCTCACCGGCGATGTAGAAAGTGTGATTTATTTTATTTATCGTTATTATCATTTACATGCTGGATTAAATAGAAAAGGTATTTGTTGGTGGTTGGCGGGTGGTCTGGTGTGATTTGCTTCTTCTTTCCTAACGAATATCTGTCATTCATATTCCTCCTTCTTTTTTGAGTTTGTTACTCTCTGGTAACACATCTAATCTTCGGCACTTATATGACGTATTCGTGTAGCAAATGCCGTAAGTCGCTTACTAAAACAAAATTTGATTTTGCGCCTTCTGTCAGTGTTCCCAAATCGGTGTACTGTCATTTTTGGAAACTGTGACCACTATGTCGTGTTCTTGTTTCCATTGATCGCTGGGTCACTGATCTGCTCTGACTTCTGCTCGGTCACTGTGGCCAAAGGGAGAGTTTTTTGGGACACTTTGGCCTTATCGATTGACGTTCAGAGTTGCATCTTAGCTTTTGTTAGAGTTTTACGCCACTTGGAACACAACTAATTCTTATTAGGTTGCAAAGATTAGAGGTGTTACTAGAGAAGAAAAGAAGATAAAAAGAAACGAAAATTGATATTTGATAGGAAGGAATAGACAAACTACGGAAATGTACACGCCAACCACTCATTACAATCATTATCTTTTTTCGGTCTTCAATGAATCTGTCATTGCATTGTGTGAAGTGCAAATGACTTGGATCAGATTGACGGGTTTGAAAAGTGTCTAAATTTGGTTTCAGAAGATTAAAAAAAAAATTCCCTTCACACACACACACACACACACACACACACACACACACACACACACACACACGCAAACACATACACAAGCACACATGCACACGCACATACACAAACGCACACACGCGCACATTCACATACGCAATATATAATAAATCAATGTATGTAATGTATTGTACCTGTAATTGATAAAATAAATGAATGTCCGGACTTTCTTTTCCACAGACAGGTGCCTTTAAAACCTTTGAGAGAAGCACCACTGCGCTGACAATGGACACTATGGGGGTGTTACATCATGTGTTTGCAGAGATGTTTACGGCACCAAGTTTGGGACAACATGACTCTGATTTTGATGAACGTGTGAGGCTTTAAAGAGAACACAGAAAAAAATGAGGAGTCCCATATTGCAATGATATGATACTGGCTTTGTGTTCTTTTCGTAGCAAAGCGTTACACTGTTACGAACCATCATATCTCTGAATATGAGCTTTCCTTTTTTGACGTAGCACAGAAAAGTAACGACTCAGACTGATGGAGACTCTGTGTTATAGCCCAGTATCTGGAGGATGCCATGGGTCGACATACGCGCTCTCATGTCTGACATGCCCCTGTCTTCTCTACCTCTCTTCGGTTAAGACGATATACATTCTGCATTTCGTTTAATTTTTTACTTGGGCGGCAAGATTAGAAAATGGTGAAATGATAAAGGCTACTAACAGCCGGGTAACTGTTAACTAAACTAGCTCAAACTCCCCCCTCCTCCCCTTCCCTCTCCTCCCTAACCTGGTGTGTGGAAGGAGACTACCACGAGCCGGTTACCTACTATGTGGTTGTGTACTTGGCTCCGCCGCTGTGTGTGTAGGAAACTCTTCAGCCTCATCCTAATCACATATATAGCCATGATTTTCCTACTGCTAGGTCACATTGGCCTTGACCCAGAAAAAAAGCAGCAGCAACAGAGGAAGCCCGAGCAGACGGCGGACAGCGCCACCTCTTGGCAACAAGGTCTCGGGCACTTTCAGTCGCTAACGGAGCACAGGCCTAATCCACGAGCATTCTCAGAGTCGGTCAGAAGAGGGGGAACGAACTCAGGTTTCAACTCGGCCCTTATTGTGCCTTCGGAAGTGAGTGAGGGGTCCAGGGGTCACGATGAGATCGTCTACGGGGATTCCCTGAAGTACGAGGCGTTCAAAGGTCAAGGTGAGATCGTGTACGAGGATTCCCTGAAGTACAAGGGGATCAAAAGTCAAGGTGAAATTGTCTACGGTGATTCTTTGAAGAACATCATGGATCACGAAGCGGCCGGGTACATTTTTCTTCAAAGAGAAAAGAAGAAACTAATGTCTTTCCTCCAACCAGCACCGATACCCGAGCCAATGGTCAATATTGAGCTCTCAAAATCAGACCCCGGGGACTTTATAGAGATTGGCAGAGAGTCGTATGTTTACTCGGCGTACTTAGATGACCGCAAAGAGCAGACGTACATACGGATTATGACCTTGATGTCGAAAAGCGTCTCCTCTCTCTTCATCTTCTGCCATTTTCAGGACGTCTTGGTGAAGTCACCGAGAGTGACAGAACGCTATGAGATGTGTGAGAATCATAACAAAAAGTACGGTGGCTTTATTTTTTCCTGCAGGGTCCCGGATTTCTTGGATTTCTCAAACAAAACGAATATCGTCATCTCGCTGACCAAATACGGTCCGCAGTTAAAAATACCACTATTTGGAATAAGACCACCAAAGCACAAATTAAAATATCTTGACCTACAGGCCACTAGTATTCCCCCATCCACGTATTCCTTTCGTTCCAAACAAGCTGTGCCTTCAAACAAAAACATTAAAACTCTCCATGTAAATAATAGCGCAATGCCTTCTTCTCAGAAAAACTTCTGGAACATTCCATTGTCTTTCGCCATTTGTGTTCCGCCTTTGTTCGGAGACATCTCCGTTTACAGATTCATCGAGTTCATGGAGCTATCTCGTCTGCTGGGAGCGGACCACGTATTCTTTTACAACTACAGCATCCCTCCAGACTTATCGGACGCTCTAGTGTACTACACGCGAAAAAACATGGCGACTGTTCTGCCGTGGAAACTTCCGGCTGACGTCACGTCCGGGAAGGTGTGGTATCAAGGGCAGTTACTGGCGCATAATGACTGCTTATACAGAGCCATTCCACGGTATGATCTCGTCTCTTTTAATGACCTTGACGAGTTCATCGTTCCGCACACTAATAGCACGACGTGGCAGGAGGTATTTGGACCTCTGCTCACGGACAATATGTGCGGGTATTCATTCCAGAGCGCCTTCTACGAGCCTGGTGTGAGCGGTGTAGGGGATGAGAAGCTCATGACTCCCGTACTGACTGCCCGGACCTCGCTCTTCAGCAAGGTATTATGATGAAAAGATTTGTTTTAATTACTGATGTTACATTTGTGGTATTGTCTTTCTTGTTGTTGTTGTTATTGTTGTTGTTGTTGTTGTTGTTGTTGTTGTTGTTGTTGATTTTGTTGTTGCTGTTGATGTTGTTGTTGTTGTTGTTGTTGTTGTTGTTGTTGTTGTTGTTGTTGTTCTTCTTCTTCTTCTTCTTCTTCTTCTTCTTCTTCTTCTTCTTCTTCTTCTTGGCGTCGGTGGCCTAGTGGTTAAGCTACCGGGCTCGTAATCGTGAGAATGCGGGTTCCAGGGTTCGAGCCTCTTCTTGATCCGACGTTGTGTTCTTGGGAAAAGCATTTTATACGAATTTCCCAATTGGCTCGGTCCTTTCGGAGATAGACGTTTAAGTCAGAGGTCCCGCCTCTTCTTCGTGCTCCAGTGGCGCCGTTGCAAGGAAAAGAAAAAGAGAAGAAAACAATGAAGAACAGATATATGCCATCCACCTTCCCACGAGGTGAAAGCACTGCCTAACAGAACGAGTCACAGCCTATTTAGGCCTGGAATGAGTTTTATTATGTGCTTTTCATTTCTAACGTGTTTACGTGAAACAGTCGAAATTGTCCAAGACGGACACCCACCACCGAGGAGGTAAGTTATGGTTGTCCAGGACAGATGAATGTCTTTGACTGCTTCGGTGAACGCTTGAGGGGAGACGGCATCCGAAGGAGTCGCTTTTACACGTTAATTGTATTCGACAGCAGGCCGTTTTAAACAGGTCAACTCTTTAGATGTATCTGCTCTTCCTTTTTTCTTCCCTTCTTCTCTCGTCTTTATCTAACTCAAAAAGCTTACAATATGTGAGGCAGCGTGGTGGAATCTGGCTCTCGTCAAAATAATCAAAGTGAAGAAATTTACATTTTTTCGCAGGTTTGTGCATTTTTATCAAATTTTTGTTTTTTGGCTGAACACCTTTCATGCCCATTAAAAAAAACTCATTTCTGTGTGGATTTTTCTGAAAAGCGTTAATTAAAGGCATTAAAAATGTAAATCTTCAGTTACCACGGACTCTTAAGCTAAGGAAATAACTAAGCTTTGGCGGCATTTCCTCACTAATTTTACCTCTTAAAACAAGTGATCCCCACCTATTTCTTTGCAAGTATCTCGAATTGTATTCAAGATAAAGGGATTTTTTTTGGTATCCAAATAAAGACAGGGGAACAAGTGTTAAGATGATACCAATAACTCTACATGCCAAAAAATTAACGAGAGCCTGATTCCACCACGCTGCCTCATCTGCTTTTTCTTCTCCCCCCCCCCCTCCCCTCTCTCGCCTTTATCAAACTCACAGAGCTGTCAATAACTTAATGGCTTTTTTCCCTTATTGGCTGAGAGTTTCACTTAACTGAAATGTTGTGGTATCAAGTTAGTTCCCAGAAATTACAATCATTTTTCTATGTTCTGTACTAGTGTTTATTTCTTGATCTTAGATCAGGGAGCCCCATGTAGAATTACAGTGCTAGATTTCTGGTAATATTATGAAGATATTCAAGTCCTTCTCTGCCACATTCTTTTAACCCTTCTTTGGCCTAGTTTCTTCAGCTGCCAGCACATGTTTTGTACACACTTTTCTGTTGACTTGTGTCCGCTGAATAACCTATCGGTTTAGCAAATAATGCCTTAATACGTATTATATATAATAAATGTACATTCAAGAGAGAGTTTGGAGAAAAAAAAGATTCAAATCATCAAATTTATTTTCGGAAAATGTGAACTAGATCTTCGAGCTCAAAGCCGGAGTCGAAACAAAGATACGGTTCGTCGTTGTTTCAAGGAAATGCTGAGTCGATCAATTGTCTCGTCGTATTGCATGCGTGAAGTGCAGCGCTCAGACGTTTAAGTCACGCCGGTGTTACGTGTACTCTGAAAGGCTTCCTCGGGATTAACATTGCAGGCTCAGTTTGAAACCGCAAGAGTGCGTTAAAGCCTTTAATGAAATGGTTACGATATGAGAGTTACAGTTGTTTGAATGTGGTTGGACATAAAGATGCGCTGAATGGAGACCGAGAACAGGGAGACATAACTTAGAAGACCAGAAAGGGTTTGGCAGGATGACATAAAAAAGCGCATAGGAACAACCTGGGTAGAGAGAACAGCAGATTGAACAGACTGGAAGTCACTTTTGGAGGGCTACATTTTGCAGTTGACATGCAACACGCAAAGAAAGAAAATTAGAGAAGAAAAGTAATTGAGACTTACGACAAGCTTGATTATCTTGGGTTGATTATTTAATTCAATGATTCAGTATTGCGTTGGCAAAATAAAAAATAGAAAATGATTTATAGTATTTTTTGTGCTCCTTAATGTTGTTGAGCGATAACGTGTGCTAGATCTATACAAATACCATGTACTATTATCATTTGTTTATTAAATGTTCAGATGTCACGGAAAGTCCCATGCACCTGCATCTGTGGTGTGGAAAATAGGCGCCTTCCATCTCACGAAGGAAATTCCCGAGTGGGGAGAACTTTTTATCGTATATATCTGACTTTCTTTTAGGATGTTTTATCCCTCTCAGCCGACCAGACTTGTGTGTGTGTGTGTGTGTGTGTGTGT